GTTTTCAGCCTTACGCGCCGGCCGCCCTTTACTCCCAGGAAGATTTCTGGTATTCATTTCTGTTAGAGGCTGAGTCGATCCCAGGGCCACAGTGCGGCTGGAAGGATTATGTAAATTGAAAAATCCAACGATTTCATCATGAATCGCACTCGCGACCTTCCAGACTGTAGCAAAGTGCCTCAGCCAACTTCTCTATTACGTGCCCCTGAGATTCCTTGAGGAAAGTGCCGCGATTAAACCTCGAATTAGCCCACCACCTCCTCCTTCCACATCCCTTCCAGTTCGTTGTTCATTAATCATGTAACAACTTGACGCTGTGTAGACCGCGCTGTTTCATCCGAAGAAGTGACCGATCCGTAAATCAGAAGCAAGTCGGTCACGCAGAAGAGAAGACACTAGTAGTCCAGTAAGGAATGGAGCGAGTCTTAGTCATTGATTGTGAACTGCTATAATTAATTGTAATTGTAATAGAAGTGTCAGAGGACCCGTTAGTATTCGTCACGGAATTCCAGACACGTGACAGTATGGAAAACTATGCCGAGGATTCTTTGTGTCTCATTGACAATTATAAGTTGCAAAACTGCGCCTATTATCTCTGTATGTATGTATGTATGTATTGTAACGTGAATGACCAGAGCGTTGCTAGGCAACTGACCGCTAAGGCGCGTCCATATTACTCTTGCTCGTGCTCGTGTGACTCGCTATGCTCGCGAGTAATGTGGACGATATGACAAGTCACGAGACAAGAAAATTTTAAATTTTTAATTTAAAAGCTATAGCCAATAAATTAAAATAGGACTACAGCCTATACACACTACGAGTAAATATACGGATCCTCACGCGCCGAAGCCTGGCGAGCAACTGAAGTAGTGTGGACGAAGAATTACGGGCACAAGTAAAAGCCAGACGAGTCTCCCGACGAGCACAAGCCTCCCGAGCACGAGTAATATGGACGCGCCTTTAAACACATCGCGAACGAAAACACGCAAGGCAACAATGGGAGTGCGGTGTTTTCTATGCGGTCAGCGTCGCGGTCGCCGCTATGCAAGGTTGCGGTAAACACTTCTCTACAACAATAAGGGCTGTTTTCTGTGCGTGGTCGGTGCGGAGGCTGTAAAACAAGTTTCCGTAGAGAACAGTCTTCAGTGTTTGAGTGTGTTTAAGTGCAGTTCCGTTCAGGTGAGTTCTCGCTGCAAGAGAGCCACGGAAAGTTTATCGTGTGATTAAAAGACTTCCTTCGTGTTTAATATTGGGAATGTGTAACAGTGAATTATGAAGTGTAAGTCAGTGATAGCCCTGTAATGTAAGTGCGATTAAGAGAGGTTGTAACCGAAGTGCCAATAAATCCAATTATCCCGAACTAGGCCCCGTCAGTCTCGTCACGCGTACCACCCTACACGTCACAGTATATTATAACTCGAATGAATACAGCTCAACATATTTTCATGATATTTGTTACTGGAGAGTTTTGCAAGTTGTGGACACATTCCAGTTTAAGTTAAAATCAGACAAATATAACGGACGTTTCACATCAATAGATACTTGGGACTTTGCGACCACTTCGAGCATAACTCGTTATTGACTGGCACAAAGAAATTTAACATAAGTTGCAAAGAAGCCTGACGCATGACCAATGCACTTTTCTACCTGAGCCTTGCTTACGGCTTGCGAATTCATTACATCTAACTGAATGAATGCGCTATACATTTCATAATTTGACTAATCCGTGTGCTGCGACATCGAACATTCAGTATCAGCCAGTGCCGCATCTCCTTCCATCATGATTACAAAGTTACAAGATTATAAATCCAGCATATTTCCGATATTCGTAAAGCCGTGGGAAATTCAGAAATATTTACACGGGACTTTTCTTCCGTAAGGATGTCTATACAAGCTATGACGTACCCTACCCTGTAGCTCCTCCCGGAATCACAATGTCTTGCATCCACTCACAGGACTATTTATATTATTATATATAAATAAATATATATATAAATATAAATATATTATATTTAGAAATATTTAGGATATCGAGCGAAGCAGTTCTTTCAGTTGTGACACAAGGGGAGCCTGAGGCTACAAGCTTCACGGTGTCTACTTTCATAGCCCTCCCTTAGAAGCCGCAAAATGTGATGAAGCGTGGAGAAATGGGAATGGGTCGAGGGGGAAGAGAGCGAGACTACGTTTTCCATGGGGAAACAGAAAATTATCTGGGTTTCCCTTCGAGACAGTAGTCTGACATTGTTACGAGTCGTTGTTCTGATGTCTTATTACATATGGGTTGCCCTAGAACTCAGATTTAATCTTTTATCTTTAGAAGACATAAAACGGTCAGGTAGCGTTGTTCCTATGCTTAACTAATTAAGCAATACGCCATGAAGGGTTATGGGAGAGTAGCTGTATAAATCAATGTATTCTTGACCGCGGCACTAGTTGGATGTGAGTGATCAGCTACACGCCCAGGCCTCTTTACCCCCGGAGGAAAATCCCCCGGTACCCATTGGATAGGAGGCGCGGTGGGCCCCGGAACCTGTCTGGACGACGTGGAGAAGAGAAAATTCTAGATCCTACTGGGACTCGAAGTCGGACCTCTCGGTCTGCCAGCCGTAGCCAGTCGCTAGACACGACTTAAGATTCTGAACTAAATGGTAGGAAGCATTCACAACATTTAATCTGCTCTAAGATTCTTCATGAGCGCAATTTATTTACTCAGTATTTAATTTAATGATCAATTGATGGATCACATACGGTCAGCCATTTTGCACAACATTCGCCGTTCTGACAAGCGACGAAGATGGCCGATATCTTGCACAACCACTGCGCAGAAACAAAACATGTTGGATATTTTTGGTGGAACAAGAAGCGCTGTACTGTGAATGCTCTTGTCTCCACAAATACGGGCATTAAATTGTATGTATTTTCCATCAGCGTGCCTTGTATGTAAATACGAGTATATGTCCATGTATATGCCGGGATAGCTCAGCCAGTATAGTGACTAGACTACGAGCTGGACAACCGAGTATTCAGGATTCGAATCCCAGTAGAGGCAACAGTTCTTCTATTCTCCATAACGTCCACTCCGGCTGTGGGGCCCACCTAGCATCGTATACGGTAGGTATCGAAAGGGGGTAAAGCGGCAGGGGCGTGAAGCTGCCGGCTCAGCTCCATCTAGTGAAGAGGTCAAGAATGATGGACCTATACCTCTACTCCCTCATACGTCTTCACGGCGGGGCGCTTAGAATACCGGACGATGGACAAAGTCCATAAACCCAGTAATTCTGAATGTTATACACCATCGTCAGAACCCTTTAGAATCTATTTACCTTTTTATGTTTTCCATTACAGACTCAGTCACCCTCTCTGACGAGCAGACGGGCCGTAAATCGTGGCGTCCCTTGCGAATCCACGTACATTGCTAAGAAGAAGCTACCGTTACTTTCAAACAACGAAAACCGTTAGCTTTTGTCTGCTCAGGACTGCCAGGCGCATACATTTCGGTTCTTTGCTGGTTTATTTCAGTCCGCATTGTTCAGTACCGTTCAATACAGTGACTTGGCCACGGTCTGCTTGATGGGACATTCAGGCTTCGATTCCCGGCAAGAGCAAGACCACATCTAGCCCGCCAGCCTCGTGTTCAGTTGAAACTGAGACCTCTTTCTTCGGGGATAAGGCGGTAAAGGGGCGACACCTTCATGGCTTCTGCTTAATTAAAGATGGGGACAAATTTACGTATACTGATTTAACTCAGTCTCTCTTATCTATGTTGGGCCTCGGCCGCTTCAATTTCATAATTCTATACACAGTCGGTAGGACTCCTTGGACGGGGGATCAGCTTGTTGCAAGGCCGCTACCTATACACAGAAAAACACAGACACAAAATAAATGCACACAGGCACCCATGCCTTGAGTGGTATTCGAACCCACGATCCCAGCTTTCGAGTGAGCGAAGACAGTTCATGCCTTAGACTGCGCAGCCACTGTGATGGGCATTAACTCAGCCTACATAGCATCGAATGATGGGATTCGGGAATAGTGAGTTGGAAGGGATGTGAAAGGATGTGGTCGGTGGAAAATTTGAGGCACTAGCATGGAATTTTCGATGAAGTTAGAAAACCCCACATCTCACTGAAGATAGGAGGTCCCTCGGGCGACATCATTAGCCTGGGCTACCAGAATATGAATCATGAGTATCACCCATCGACAGGAATACGATCGGTCATAGACACAGCAACTTTCTGACGCAGAGAGGCTTCTTCAGACATGCAGGGATCGTGGGATTCGTGGCCGTGAGCAAGATTGAAGTGTGGACAGTTCATACGAGTATGTAAGGTAACGGTTACTCTAAGTGTTCGAATAGTATCTCTTGTAAACTAATTAAAGGCACTATCTCAGAATTCGCCTGGAAGGACTGAGGAAAACCAAGGAAAATCTCAGTTAGACTGACGGTGTCAGCACCGCCCAAATACAAGAGAAAAGCATTACCCCTTGTGCAAAATTTCTCACTCGTATCCAGTGGTATCGAGGCTCTTACCACTGCGATAAAGCGACCGAGACTTGAAGCTGACGAATCTTCTCAGTCTAGTGAAAATTAAGAATGCGCCATCCGCATCAACCAGTGGTCCTTGACGTCTCTTCACCCGTCCCGCACGTGGACGGGTCAAACGCACCGGACGATAAAATTAGAAGGTAAAGTTCCTGTGCTTATGTAAGATTTGAGGCTTTCACGGCGGTGACTATGAAGAAAGCAGTCTTCTGGGATTTGGCACCGTGTATATGTGGTGTTAACCGACGTTTCGGGGGAACATGTCGCTCCCATATTCAATGTTGAAGAATAAAAAATTCGCGGCACATCGGCTGCGAAACATTACTCTAGAGGCAACGCTTTAAGACCTGTACTTGGGAAATGCCTGATACAGACTATCCTGACTAAGTATGGTTTTCCTCATTCCTCCTGGCAAATGCTGCGACATAACCTCGATCAGGCTAGACCATTTCGTTCCCTAATCATCATCAGCCATCCTACCATCCGGTGCTGTACGGGGGAGAGTCAGTAAATGGGGCACAAAAGGATATAAAACATTTGATATTCGAACCTGGGAAGAAAATTGTTTCTCGACATATCCTCCACCAACACTGATACACTTGTTCCGTCGCTTCGCAAGTGCGTCAAAACCAGCAGCATACAAGTCTTTTGACTTTCGTCTCTGCCACTTCCGCACCTCCGTTTCAACATCTTCGTCATCAGAGGAACGTTTCCCACGCAGGCGGTATTTTAGAGGACCAAACAGATGGGAGTCACTAGGGGCCAAGTCCGGGCTGTAAGGTGGATGTTCAAGAAGTTCCCACTGCAGTTCTTGAATTCTCCCCTGAGTTGGTTGGTCTGTATGGGGGTCAGCCATTGTCATGATGAAGCAGTAACCCCTCTTGCTAGTTGGCCTGGACGTTTTCTGCAAATTGCATCCTGAAGCTTCAACAAAACTTCACAGTACAATGCAGAATTCACATTTTCACCACACTTAAAATGGGCTAGCAGCACTCCGTGAGAATCCCAGGCACGGTAAGCATAACCTTCACACCTGATGGTGTACTCATAACATTAAACTTTTTTGTTGAAGTTGAACTGGGATGTTTTCATTGCACTGAAGCATGCTTTGATTCGGGTTTGTAGTGATGCACCCATGATTCGTCCACAAACAATCCTGTTAAGCATATCTTCTCCTTCATCTGCATACTGTAAAAGATGTTGCAAGGAGAGTTGCATTCGGGCCATTTCGTCTCTTGGCACCTTAGGTGAGCACTTTCCGAAACTTCAAACGATCATGACTGTGTGCTAAACCATGGGAACACCCTAGTACAGTTGCTAGACTGCCTGTCAGCTCGAGTCAACTCTTCCATCCGCTGCAAAGTTGCTTCTGTTGCAATCTCAACAGGGCGACCTGATCAGGCATCATCTGCTGCTTTCGAACGTACTTGAGAAAATTTCTCGTCCCAGTTATGAAACAATTTACACGATAAACACTTCCAGCCGTAAACAGGAAAAATTCTTATGAACATCCTTTGTATTGAGTCCTTTTGCCCACAAAAGAAGCACAACAGAATATTGCTCTTCTGTAGTAACTCCTCGAGCACGGTCGCCATTTTGACTATTGAAACCAGCCTCTGACCTTGCAGTTGCGCGTCTGCTACCTAGTGATTCAAACAGGGAACCTATTACAGCTTTTTTACTTCCATTTGCGACTTGCTTACTGACTAAGAGGCTTAGTCCCACCCCACTAGCAATAAAAAAATAATGACTGTCCATCGTATATGATGCTGAAAGCGTGGTTAAATACTTACTTACTCAAGGAGCTGAGCCCCTCTGGAGGAGCCGCCAATTCTGCAGCTACTCAACAATTTCCCAGCATTTTATGGAAACCGAAGGTTCATTACCCTGTTCACAAGAGCCCTCCACTGGTCCCTACCCTGTGCCAGATAAATCCAATCCATCCCATCCTGTCTAAGATCCATTTTAATATTGTTCATCCACCTACGCTTTGGTTTTCTCAGTGGTCTCTTTCCTTCTTCCTTTCCCACCAATATCCTATACGCATTCCTCGTCTCCCCCATTCGTGCTACATGACCTGCCCACCTCCTTGACTTGATCATTCTAATTATACTTGGAGAAGAGTACAAGTTATGAAGCTCCTCATTATGCAGCTTTCTCCAGCCTCCTTTCATTTCATCTCTCTTCGGTCCAAATATTCTCACCCTGTTCTCAAACACCCTTAGTCTAGGTTCCTCCCTTAATGTCAGAGACCAAGTTTCACACCCATACATAACCACAGTTAAAATTATAGTTTTGTATATTCTAATTTTTATGCTTACCTGCGGCCATTTCTGGCTTAAATCATAGGCTTTCTTGAAGTCTATGAATAGCTGATGTACTGTCTCATCGTACTCCCATTTTTTCTCCAATATCTGACGAATGCAAAAGATCTGATCTGTAGTTGATCTGTTATGTCGAAACCCACACTGATGATCCCCACACGTGGCGCGATAAATTCAGTCCCCCTCCCCCATGTCTTTATTGTGTTTAACGCTGCCCCCTTTACCTTTACGTGGGTAGCTATATGGGCTTATGGCAGGTCGGAAGTGCTCACGGGTTTTGGGCCCCGGCCGCTTTCAGAAAACTGGTTTCTGCCCGTCCAGCTCAAGCAATGGCAGTCTTCTGGAATGTTACGTTCTGCCGCGTGGGAGAATTCCACCGGCATTTGGAGGAACATACCGCTTCCATCTTCAGGAGGGGTAAGCGAAGCGAATAAAAAGTAAAGTAAAGGTATCCCTGTAACAGGCCGTCGAGGCCCATAGGGTTGTGAGATGTTGAGGTTCCCACATTTTCTAGACAATCGGCTCATAGATGGCGTCAAGGTTGTCAGCCTTATGTGCCGGCCGCCCTTTACCCCCAAGAACATTCCAAGAATATTCCTGGTACTCATTTCTGTTAGAGGCTAAGTCGACCCCAGGACCATAGTGCTGCTGGAAGGATTAACTAAATTGAAAAAAATCCAATGGCCTCATCGGGATTCGATCCCGTGAACTTCCGGCTTGTAGCATAGTGCCGTAACCAACTACACTACCGCGTGCCCCCTAGCAAAGCGAGATGCAAGCAATGTGATTGAGGATTACTCTTTGTATGTTGGTTGTCTGTAACACGATTCGATCCTGAAGATAGACGCAATATGTTCCTCCAAAACGTCGGTAAATTTCTACTGTGCTAGAGATTCACATCCGATTCATCTTTTTCTAGGTAAAATAAAGGTAAAGCTGTTCCTGTAACAGGCCGTGAAGGCCCATAGGGCTGTGAGACGTCGAGGCTCCCACATTTCTCTAGACAGTCCTTTCACAGATGGCGGTAAGGTTGTCAGCCTTATGCGCCGGCTGCCCTTTACCCACCCGGAAGATTCCGGGTACTCATTTCTGTTAGAGGCTGAGTCGACCCCAGGGCCATAAGGCGGCTGGAGGGATTAGCTAAATTGGAAAAAATCCACCTCATCGGGGCTCGAACCCGCGACTTTCCGCCTTGTAGATTATTGCCTCAACAAACATTTCGCACATATAACTGTCACTCACATTTTGGAAAAAGAGTCCTGTAAGTGGTCCTACCACCCACTGTAACTGGTTTCTGTTCAATTTTAACAGTTCCTTCGTTCTTCCAGCAGAGGGTTATTGTTCATACAAAGGTAAGTTTAGTATTTTAATTTTCCTATAGTTTTATATGTTGGCATTAACACTGACAGACGTATGACTTCGCCCAATCATAAACATTGACCAATATCAGCAAAGTAGAGAGTGAGTGTAAACATTTTACCTGATGTAAGATTTGAGGCTTTCACGGCGGTGACTATGAAGAAAGCAGTCTTCTGGGATTTGGCACCGTGTATATGTGGTGTTAACCGACGTTTCGGAGGAACGTCGGTTAACACCACATATACACGGTGCCAAATCCCAGAAGACTGCTTTCTTCATTTTACCTGATGATGGCAGACCCATGTTGTAGAATAGCATATAAAGCTTATATTGTATTTAAGCATCCTGTTGCATTAATATATCTTTTGTATACGTATATTTCCATCTTAAATGCAATTTATTATCTAATATTTCGATGGATATAATAATTTACTAGGCAACGACTAGATAAACACAGCCTAAATACCTTAATAATCGCAGAAGCGAGTATGATCATCTCGCTACAACGAATACTCTTGGAGGAATGAAAGCGTTGCCCCAAATTAATACATGATATCCGAGGCAACGCATTCGTGAAACACAGTAATCAAACCCTTGGAGGCGGTGATCTACGTCTATTAGGTTCTCCAGCAATTATAAAAGGCAGTGCATTTGAAAATTTGTCGCAAAATGAGACTCAGACTCAATACTTGTAGTACAAAAGACAGACCCACCCTCTCGTCAGTGAGGGCGCCCCACAAGAACAAGATCGAAACTGTCAAACAGTAATAAATATCTGGTCATAAGCCCCACATTGGGCTCGAGACCAAGATTGACTGACTGACTGACTGACCAACCGTCAGTCACAATGTGACTTTGACTTTGAACAGTTGGAGTGTTAACCAGGTAAGATTCGTTTCCAAGCAGGCATTGAAGACTTTATTTTTGTGCTATAGTTACAGTAATCTTTAGAGTGTTGTAATTATTTGTAGTTGATGTCTTGTGAGTGTCCAATAAATCTATGCATCAATCCAGAACCCATTCTTATTAGTCACGCTAACTAGTAAATTCGTGACATCATGTTGCACTTAAGATGGAAATACATGTGTACAAAAGATATAATGCTTATATAGACGAAATGCGATGACAGAACTAATAGTAAGTTGCTGACACAACTGAAAGACATTATTCCTTCATAGAATGGCCATTATTCTCTGGCTAAAACATCTCAGAGGCTACGCTATATTTTCAGTAGGCGACCTAACCAGCTTATGTTGAACACAGAATCTGCTTGCTACCCACTTCGTGCTGGTATCTTACTTAACTCAGTATCTGACCATGAAGATGGTGGCGATATGATCCTCCGAAACGTCGGTGAACTTTGCCCTACTACACGGCATTACATCCGTTGTTTAGAATCTTGTGAATTTCTAATGTGACACCACGACCTACGTCGCCTCCTGACGACAAACATATTTCAGGCATGGACAACAGCTGTTTACTTGAGCGTTTTGTCAACCGGTGGGACAGGATCCACGGTTGGGTCGCCAAGTCTCGAAATTTCTTACGTACGCCTGCCTGGACCGGGCATCGACTCATCTCAAGTCCTCTAATCTGCATAGGACACTGTGATCGTCATTATTATAATACTGGAATGTGAGCTGCACAATTTCGCTGCCCGCTCAGGCAACTCGCTCCTACGTTCTCTGAATTCCAAATGTCACTTCCTTCTCTTTAGCCTTAACACGCCACGTCTCACGTGGTTCGTCTGATAATATTTTGTTCTTGTCCTTCTGAGACTAGATATTGTCTCTTTGAGTAGGGCCCGGAGGTAAATCTTATTTCTGAATTTCAGCGTTTGTTAAACGCTTACAATGGAAGCGGAATCTGGTGACGTTTCAGGTGGACAAATCCAGTGGAAGTCGGGTGTAACAAAAAGGTAAAGGAAAGCTATCCCTGTAACAGATCGTGGAGGCTCCCATGTTTTCTAGACAATCAGCCCACAGATGGCGGTGAGGATGTCAGTCTTATGCACCTGCCGCCCTTCAGCCCCAGGAGCCATAGTGTGGCTGGAAGGATTAAGTCAACTGGAAAATTCAATGACCTCATCGGGAATTGAACTCCCAAACTTCCGGCTTGTAGCATTGTGCCTCAACCAACTATACTACCATGTGCCGCATTTCAGGAAAAATGAAAGTTTTCTTCTCAAACCACTGTAACAAGGTGCACTTGCAAAATATCCACCATTACTTTGCTTTCCACAGGCTTCAACGTCAGTAGAAATTAATTTACGTTTCACTTCTGCTATGTCTTGAAGAATGATGCAGTGGTACGGCTTGTAATTGTAATAACATTGTGTAGGATTTGAGATGGTTATGAAGACTATTATCTTCTGGAATACAACACTGTGTAGTCTGATGACAGTCTGGGCTGCTTCCCACCCGCTTTCACGCTGGCTTCTTGCTCGGCATATTCTTTGATCCTGAAGATGGAGGCGGTATGTTCCTCCGAAACGTTAGTTCACTTGATCATTTTTATGTGCTGTCATGAAGATAAACAACTGAATGCACATTAGGTGTGACGAACTTAACACCAACAGCTGATGTGTCCATTTAATTTCAGTCAAACCTGATTTTCCTGGACCCTCCTAAGGAAATATCCTAAAGGAAAGTTGAAAAGCAGTGACGATAAAGCACCTCCTTGCTTTGGGCCATTATGGATAGGAAAATTATCAGACAAATATTTACCTATAATGACTTTAGTATGGATTTCATTTAAACACATTTTAATCAGATTAACTAGTTTCATGGGTACCCCGAACTCTTATCAGAATATTGTACACATACAACAACATGTGAAGAATGCAAAAGATATGATCAACAGTTTATCTGTTATGTTGAAACCTACATTGATGATCCCAAGTAATTTCGTTTGTATATGGACTTAACCTTGAGAGTATGATACTGGATAAAATTTTATATTAAGTTGATAACAGTGATATAACCTGCCAAAGCTGTCAAAAAGTATACATTGGCCAAACTGGTAGAAATCTAACAACAAAATATAAGGAACACATAAGAAATATAGATTAAACAAAGACGAATATATACTAAATAAACGCCACCGGTATGGACCCATGACAGTAACGGAAATGGCTGAAAATGCGAAAAAAGGAAGCATCATGAATATAAAAGAAAACTTCCACATATATTGCTTTAATAAAGTCAATAAATTGATAGAAGAATAAAAACATACTAGGGAGAGTGATAACCAACATAACATGTTCAACATCGTAATGAAACATCAGTACAAGCTCACACAGACGTTATAAGACACAAGTAGTGTAAATACATGATTCAGCACACCTTAGAACACAGTATAACAACGAAACTGAAATTTTAACAGTTATATATTTTCATACACCAGCAATAAATAAATTGAAGAGAAGTACAAACTAACATCTGATGTAATTTAATATTATCACACGTTCCTCTCTGAACATTATAAACAAGGGGAAAAATCTCACAATAATATTCATTCACATATATTCAACAAGATTTCAAATTTCTGGAAATCACTGCTTCACAAGCCAAAACAATTTTTGGCCATAATGACTAATTTCATGAATGGTGTAATACAAGGGCAGTTTGAGTCCAAAAACCCAGCAATTCTATACAAGGGCCTGCATGTGACATATCATTGTCACTTGCACATATTGGTATGTTGGGTAGAGAAACAGCTGCGATGGTTTCGTATAGTATCCATGTATCAAAGCTTTACAAGCAAACAAAATGGCTGGTGTGACTGAAAATTATTCCAAGTTTGAGGTCTGCATAGTGGTCAGATTTCTGCAAGCAGGAGTGAGTCAGAGTGTGTTTACAATCACAAAGTTTTCATCCAAAAGGAAGTGTCTGTGTGCTGCAACAAATTTAAAGATGGCCAAAAAGCACTGAATGATGGTCCACAGAAACACAGAGCCATGACCTCACACTTCAGCCCATACAGTGGCCTGGTTGAAAAAGTGAAAGTTGGAAAGTCTGCAGCATCCATCACATAGTCCTGATCGAGCGCCATTGGATTTCTATCTCTTCGGGCCGTTTAAGAATTTCTTATCAGGAAAAAGATTTAAGGACCAAAACACACTGCAAAAAAACAGCTGTGCAAGACTTCACATCCCTCGGAAAGAATGCCATCATAAAACAATGGGATAAATGTCTCAATGCTAAAGGTGACTATTTGGAAAAATAAACATTAGTATGTACTGTTTCTTGACTTTATTAAAGTTTTCTTTTGCAATAAATATACTGATGTAATTTGGTGCTGTACCTTTCAATTCGGACAGCCCTCATATGTACACCACACTTCATCAGTTTGTCAAAATTTGTCACCTTCACAGGAGGTAAAGGATCTGTAACTGTCAGTAACATCAAAACTGGTCAGAGCAGACTGTCACATAATCAACAGTTCCGCCAGTTACAGCTTCAGTTAGAAACTGAGTTACCTTTGTACACTGAAACACTTCACATTAGCCACAGCTAGGCAACTGCAGGTTCTGTCTCATTCAGGGAGAATTTTCGTTTCACTACATGAATCTTCTTGTTAGAGAGACAGATAACATAGCAGTGATCATCATACACAACTGTAACAGATCATAAGAAATACGAATGAAACAGAAGGACATAAACTGTACACACCCTTTTTTAACATTATTCATTCTCGTATGTCACAATAGTTATACATTATAGAATGATTTGACACCATCCAGTGTGACTCAAATGTATATTTATATGATGCCTTTACATGTCTGCCAGTAAGTAAACACCCATTCTTGGAAGGCGTAACAACATGCCGATGAAACTATTATTACATTGGTCATTCACTCACTCATGGAGCTGAGCCCTTCTTGAGAAGCTGCCAATTGTACAGTTACTCAAGAACTTCCCAAATTTATGGAATCCGAAGGTACATTATGTACACTTGAGCCCTCTACCAGTCCATACCCTGAGCCAGATCAATCCAATCCATACCGTCCCATCCTAAGAACCATTCTAATATTGTCCACCCACCCATTTCTTTGGACTTCCCAGTGGTCTCCTTCCTTCTGGCTTTCCCACCAATATCCTATATGCATTTGTCCTGAATCAGGCTAAGACATGAGTACACACTCATAAATACGTCACAGGGAACAGGGATTATAGATACTCCACACAACACACCACAAATCAGTCCCTCAACGCACAAAACAGAACTCAAAAGTAACATTAAGTAAGTACATAGACTTCTATATAAAACACGCACAATATAATTTCATATTCATAACCAACTATAATAAAAAAAAAGGGGGGGGAACATGGCCCGGACATTTTATTTCAAATGTTTTAAACTTTTAAATATTTTAACATTGACGGCTCAATTTGAGGGCATTCTTCGGATGGAATGCAAGAATTGTACGTGCATTCAACGCTACTAGAAAGTGTTGTGCTTTTACACTCCGACATCTGTAGCAGTGTTCACGCAGCTTACATACTGTGTAAATTATACAGCGCCAGTGGTTTCATGTGTTTGTAAACGTGCCTCTGATGATGGTTTATTTTAAACCGAAACATGTAAGGCGAGTGAAATAAATAAGTGACCTAAAAACATTGTTACACTCGACGGATTATTCATTGACAATTTGTGATTGATAGTGTAACGGACCAAATATGAAACAATTCAAAATCGAATATTTGTATATTACAGATAACACCTGTACAGTGTGAAAACAAGAACTAGCTGCTCCAGCACTTAGACATAGGGCGAGTAACCCTAAGAATTTTAAATTTTAAATTTAAAATTTAGTGAAAAATTTTAAAAGGTTTTAAAACATCATAACTAAAGATTTTTAGAGTGCTACTACAAGAATATCAAATTTGACGTGGGCAACATAATCTACATACCAGACACATATCAACGATGTAGATGTTGATAATACGAAGAATGTGACATTGTGTTTTTAAATGTTAAATTTTAGACTGGGTTCAGTGTGGCAGCAACGTTAAGAATATACACCTGATGATGGCCGATAGAGGCCGAAACATGTAGTGTAGAAAGAACAAGATCAAGGACATATAATATATATTGTTTGCACTTAGGACGGAGTTTGTATCATTTAACAAGCAGAGAAGTTAATTGGAAAACATTTCACAGTAAATCCCATCTGTAGGTCTGCATACATCCCACCTATAGTCCATCTCTTGTAAGGGGTGCTGTTTACATGTCCTTTTTAACATTTGCAGTTGCTTCAGTGATCTGTACTTCACCCAGCACATTCACTCTTTGGCTCTATACCTGTCATCCACACAGCCACAAAGAAAACAGTCCAAATGCACAAGTTCAAGGGAATGAAGGGGCAGCCATGAAATTGATTCTCCTCTTCCTATCCATCGACTCAGGAAATTCACATTCAGACACTCACAATGTAAGCAAAATGAACAGGTGCACTCACTGTTCAGTTGAATAAGACTGCTGTTGTTTGTGAGATGTGGAAGCATCATTTTCCAGAATAGATGTCTTTTCCCACACTGAAAGTCTGTCTAAATTGCTCATACCATCTCCTGCTGCTCTAGTCATCAAGAGTGCTCACACCATACTCACATCTAAATTCACACTGAACTCAAAATTTGTGTACCATAACACAGTCTGTGCTTTGTGATGAACAGTGGACACTGTACTGATTGCACCCTCCACTTAATCACAGCTGGGATGCATACAAAACTTGTGTCAGCAAAACTGTTTATGATTACACTGTAAATACCAGCATTGTCATATCTGTTTCTGTTCCCAAGTTGCAGGTGTTTGAAATCACAGCATTCTTTTTTGCAGATCCTGTACAACTGCTGAATAAATTCTATGCTTTCAAAGCTTCCATCCCATAATCACAGAAGTCCACCACTGGATCCTATTCTGTGCCAGTTCAAACCATTTTACATATCACATCCTATTATCCTAAAATTAAATTTAATATTTATCCCTCACCTACTCTAACTGATTCCTTCCTTTCAAGTTTTGCAGCAACTCTACATACTCCTTTGTTTCCACACTCTCCATGATGCCCCCACCCTCCCCAAACACATACACTACATTTCAGACTCCATGACACTAAAAATATACTCCCCCCTTTCAGTGTGGATGACTATTTTCATATACATAGTACTTACCTTCTATTTAGTAAATGAAACATCGGGATTATACCCAGTGTGCCTGGCAAGGCATTCTGTTGCGAGAACAATGCAATGAGTCTTGAATTTTTATCATGAAATTGTAAAAACAGTCCTGACCTTGACTTCAAGACTAATTACTCTATCACAAACTTCAAGAATTTTCAGATTAACTAATTCTGGTACTAGCATGAATCAACTTGCGAACTAAATTGGTTACTCTTCCCTGCTCTGCCCACGAATAAATTTTCTTTTTAAATAAAATGGTCTAGAAGCTTTCATGGAAAACAAGATTCTAATAACAATACAGATAAGCAGCACATGGTTGTTGCACTGACACCAGGTCACCAGTGTGATACACTGTGATTACAGTGAAAGCACTGGCATAGTACAGATAACCTCCCCCCCCCATTCTCATCTTGATCTTATCCCATACCAAATAAGCCATTTTCACATGTGCCCATAATACAGCAGAGGAACTATAAATGAACTGCTTTCTGTGTCGCTGTCTGCAACATACCAGAAATTCTCTTGTACCCATCCTCTTGAACTGCTGAGTCAAGTCTATCAGTCAAGGTGACCAGCCCATAAATAACATTGGCAATACGCTCGTCATTCTCCAACTCTCCACCAGACTGCAACACGTGAAACAGTGCCTTAATGTTCAGCGACAATGTAGTGCACATGTACAGTCAAAGTGACCAATTACTATAACTTTTTCTTTCAATTCTATTATCATTATACCTCGAACCAAAGTGCTGTCCCCATCCTCACTGTAGTACAGGAACATTTAAATGTTGTGACTTGTAGACCCATTGCCAAGTAACAGCCATGAAAACTGGCAACAGTACAACAGCCGTTGCTAGGGATGAGAGAACACACAATAATGGAGAGATGCTCTCTGTGTGGTCAGTGCCAGGGCTACATAATGAGGACTAGTAATTCAGTTGTTGTTCTCCTGTGTGGAGGCGGGGTCGAATACCTCCACCGTGACCCTGTGAGTCGTAGGAGGTGACGAAAAGGGAAGTCTCAAATCTGAGACAGTAAAATATGGTTGCGAGTCCCAAAGAACTCGGACCCAAGAAAGACCGCGCTGGCAAGGGCCAGAAGCATATGCAAAAGACAGACCCGTCCTCTCATCAGAGAGGGCGCCCCACAAAAATAATACTGTGTCAAACAGTAATAATTAATAGCTGGTCACGAGCCCCAAGACTTACTGACTGACTGACCGTCAGTTGCAACGTAACTTTGACTTTGACAGTTATTGTTGAGTCAATTGAGAGTTGCAGTTGTGAGATGTAATAAGCCGGCAGCTGAGGCCAAGGCAGTTCAGAAATCCAGAGGAAGGGGAATGCCCACTGTTGGAAGCCATTACCAAGCAATGACTAGTGAAGACAGAGAAGACTTTATGTGTCATACAGTTACACTTATCTTTGGAGTGTGTAACTCAGTGAGACTGTCATAGTTATTTGTAGCCACGAGATGGTTAAGAGTCCAATAAATCCGATTTCCAACCCAAGTCCTGTCTACAATCACACTCAATCATGTGACAATATCTTACTTCCAAACAATATGGAGCCTAAAGCTCCTATTAGTTTTAGCACTTTTACTTCAACGTCCCTGTGAAACTTCGTCTGTATATTAAAATTCACAATTTGAAGTCTATTTGACTTATTTATTTAACACTACATGTTTTAGCCTAACTGGCCATCATCAGGTGTATGAGACTGTACATGAAAACTCCAGTCTTGTTATTACACTGCTGTAGTTTGCATTTTACAAGTAATGCACACACATTTGGTGTATATTCTTTAGTGTTTTGTTTTCTTTCCTTTGTGCTGTCTGTAGCTGCATACACAAGTGTGTATAACAGAAGTAACCAGAGCATTATAATCTGAATAACTCAAAAAATATTTTATAAGCATTGTATGTTACTCATAAATGCAGAATACAACATTGCAACAACACAGAAGCAGTTTTCATCTACGAAACCTGATGATGCCCAGTTAGGCCAAAACATGTATATTAAATAGTAGGAAGAGGCAAGGAGAATTTTAACATACAGACAAAGTTGCATGGGGACTGTGAAGTGAGAGTACAAAAACTGGAATACACTGCAACAGGATGTTGCAATACAAGATTATCAGTTCCCACTGTTCCACAGATGCCACTGTGTGTAATAATTCAGTGGAATTTTGGCTACATCTGCAGTCGCTATGTGGGCATGCAGCTCCTCCCACAGTACACACAAAATCTTCTGTAAAAAACTACAGCAGCAATAACACGACAAGCAACATTTCACAAGGAGTGGTACAAACCAGCCAGTGCCTCTGTAGATCAGAATTTAACTGAAGAACCCACTAATAAGAGAGCATATAAACAAATTATTAAAACACAAATACAGAAGGCACAAAGCTATGAATGACACCCCTAATTCTGGAAACAATTATATGTGTATGTGACCACTGCAGGAATTTTCATAAACGAACCAACCAAACTTAAAAAATTATCAACCGAGTCACAATGGGGTAATTCTTCCTATACCATATAACTTTTTAGGGTCCAAAAGAATGTTATAAGGATCATGATAAGTATAAAGAAAAGAGATTCATGTAGATTCTTTTAAGGAAATAAAAATTCTGCCCTTGTGCTCTCAATATATATATATAACATATTTGTTTACAAGAAATACTGAGGTCCATAATATTGAAACCAGACAACATATTAATCTATTTCCCTTGAGTACTTCATTCACTAAAGTTCAGAAGGGAACTTATTAATCAGGCAAAAAGATTTATAACCACTTACCTAGGAAACTCAAACAGTTATCCAATGATCAAAAATCCTTTGGGTTTGCCCTAAAGAGATTTTTATATGTGAACTATTTTTATTCTTTGAATGAGTATTTTAATTACAAATGTAAACACATTTGAGTGTATCGATATTGTATAATACAGGTTTATGCTTAATATATATCTTTTAATGTCTTACAATGTATCTATTACATTACTACGTATGTGCTGCTGACTAATGCATTACTGAATTATGTATTAAAGCTGTCACGACAATAACCACATCCAGAGAATGTAATTTCTTAATGGATCTATGGTGAACTAATAAATGATGATGATGATGATTGAAACTTCTGCACACAGATGTGGCCAAATTACTTAACTCTTTTATGCAAGGGTATAATTACACAAAATTATGCATAGTAGTCGAGTTTTTGCAGCCAATATATATTTTCTTTAAAAATTTCCTCATGCATTCCAGCACCACTTATGCAACATACAAGATCATTATACTGACCGAAATAACGGCACCATCTTCTGCTAACAGAAGGTATCCTATTTGATCTGGTATTCGTTCCAAATTCAACATTTTCTTCTTTAGGCTTGAAATGAAAAAGACAAACTGAAACATAAATTTTTTTACTATGAACTTCAATGCCACCTCTCGAGAATGACTTATTTCAAAAACTCTTTTGCTNAACATACAAGACCATTATACTGACCGAAATAACGGCACCATCTTCTGCTAACAGAAGGTATCCTATTTGATCTGGTATTCGTTCCAAATTCAACATTTTCTTCTTTAGGCTTGAAATGAAAAAGACAAACTGAAACATAAATTTTTTTACTATGAACTTCAATGCCACCTCTCGAGAATGACTTATTTCAAAAACTCTTTTGCTTGAACATATAACAGCAATGTAGAAATGACACATTTCACTATCAATAATGTATACCAATCTTTATTCTCAAAGAAATACTAGCACCGTATCAGAGGAACCAATCCTATTCTGATCTACCTTCATGTCCATACATGTATATAGTAGTTATGTGATGTTTTGGTAATCAGTCTACATTGACCAAATGCACAGTGTAGTACATATCTAGCATGTACACGCCCAGACTAGAAAATGCTTCTCCCACATTAATGATCACATAATAACACAATTCATATCGGGAAATATGTGTACTCAAATCATCACACATTCATACAACCTGCATGTCAACCCTGTGCTTCACAACCTGGTTTTACTATGAGGATGCTTCTAACACAAAGGATCCACAAATTAAATAAGCCTAATACAACACTGTAGCACCTGAACCTTACAGAACTATTAGGCTTATTTTGGACTCTATCCATCGTCTGGTATATAGAAGACAAAAAACCACATGTTTCGGAAACTGGATCTCTCTCCGTCCTCAGGTGGATGGGGCAGGATAGACCTACTCAGTTGGGCCCGTTAGGAAGAGCTAGTTTGTCCAGTGAATGAGACTAGCTCTTTTTAATAGGCCCAACTGAGCAGGTTTATCCTGCCCCATCCACCTGAGGACGGAGACAGATCCAGTCTCCGAAACGTTGTGGCTTTTTGTCTTCTATATACCAGACGATGGATAGAGTCCAAAATAAGCCTAATAGTTCTGTACGGCATACAC